ACACAGACTTCTAAAGAAAGCTGCCAGCCCTGACCTGGCTCATGTAAAGCGTGCTAATTACAGTGAAAATCTGAAGAAAGCAAGAGCGGGAGGGAGAGAAAGAGAGCTAGACTGCAGCTCACACAAATGACAGCTTGAGCAAACTTTTCCTGCTGCTATAAATAACGGCCTGCAGGGCACAGCGTGCAGGATCCCAGCTCCCAGCACCTCGCAGACCCCACAGCTTGGCCCCCAGCCCCAGAGGCAGCAGCAGCCCTGTTCACATACATAACCACACCGCCTGCTGAAAGCCTCTCTTGTCTGCAGATTTTATGCATTTCTCTCTTCTGGCAACCCACTCCCCCATTATGCTGTCATTCTCTTACTCCTTTTCCTTTTTCAGTCTGCACATTTACTGTGGTTTCCCTTAATTGCACTGCTTTGCAGCTCTCCATCTCTTTCTCCACGTTTTTGTTGCTAAGATGCCCTGGAGTACCCCAACAGGGCTCCTCCTTCCAGCTGCTTACAGCTGCTCTCTAGCCCCAAAGGCTTTGTCCATCAGGAACCTGAAGGAAATCACTGTGGAGTGCTGAGCCGCTCACAGCACACAGCTCCAGCTCTCTCCTGGTTTAGGAAATGAAGCCCCACTTTCAGGCTCAGGGGAAATGAAAGCAATGCAGTTTCCCTGCAGCCACTTCCTCCAGCTGGTAATGCAGATAAAGATGTCAAAGCCACATGCAAGAGGCAGGAGAAAGCAACGACAGTGCGGGTCCCACAGTTCTGTGCCCAACCAGACCAACAGCTTCCTCTCTGTCCTAAAAACTTGGCTTCCCAGTGTTTCCCCAATGACACAGGATGACACAACAAAGCTGGCACTGAATTCTGCTGTGCTCAAGCAGCTGAACTCACAGAATCACACAGAATCACAGAATCACCCGGGTTGGAAGGGACCTCAAGGATCATGTAGTTCCAACCCCCCTGCCTAGCAGGGCCACCAAACACACACATTCAGATCAGGTTGCCCAGGACCCCGTCCAACCTGGCCTTAAACACATCCAAGGACGGGGCATCCACAACCTCCCTGGGCAGCCCGTTCCAGGGCCTAACCACTCTCCTTGTAAAGAACTTCCCCCTAGCATCCAACCTAAATCTTCCCTCCTTCAACTTCGATCCATTTCCCCTAGTCCTGCTGTTGTCAGCCCTTTTGAAGAGTTTACTCCCCTCGTGGGTGTAGGTTCCCTTCAGGTATTGATAGGCTGCAATGAGGTCACCCCGCAGCCTTCTCTTCTCCAGGCTGAACAAGCCCAACTCCCTCAGCCTGTCCTCATAGGGGAGGTGCTCCAGCCCCCTGATCATCTTAGTCGCCCTCCTCTGGACCCTTTCCAAAATCTCAATGTCTTTCTTGTACTGAGGGCTCCACACCTGGACACAGTACTCCAGATGGGGCCTCACAAGAGCCGAGTAGAGAGGGACAATCACCTCCCTGTCCCTGCTGACCACCCCTCTCCTGATGGAGCCCAGGATCCCATTTGCCTTTCGAGCTGCCAGAGCGCACTGCTGGCTCATGTTCAGTCTCTCGTCCATCAGGACCCCCAGGTCCTTCTCTGCCGAGCTGCTCTCAAGGACCACTCCTCCCAGCCTGTACGGGTGCCTGGGGTTCTTCCGGCCCAAATGCAAAACCTTGCACTCTGCCGTGTTGAACCTCGTTAGGTTCACCCGAGCCCAGCCCTCCAGCCTGTCGAGGTCCCTCTGAATGGCATCCCTTCCTTCCACTGTATCAACTGCACCACTCAGCTTGGTGTCGTCAGCAAACTTGCTGAGGGTGCACTCAATTCCCTCATCGATGTCATTAATAAAGATGTTAAAGAGCACCGGTCCCAAGACAGACCCTTGGGGGACACCACTTGTTACCGGCCTCCACCTGGACATAGAGCCATTGACCACCACCCTCTGTCTGCGGCCTTTCAACCAGTTTCTTACCCATCGGGTCGTCCACCCATCAAATCCACTTCCCTCCAATTTGGAGATGAGGATGTGGTGGGGGACCATGTCAAAGGCCTTGCTCAGGTCCAGGTAAATGACATCAGTCGCCTTCCCTTCGTCCACCAATGCCGTCACTCCATCATAGAAGGCCACAAGATTAGTTAGGCATGACCTTCCTTTGGTGAAGCCGTGCTGGCTGTCTCGGATCACATGCTCATTCTTTATGTGATCGAGCATGTTGTCCAGGAGGATCCGTTCCATGATCTTCCCAGGCACGGAGGTGAGACTCACCGGCCTGTAGTTCCCCGGGTCCTCCCTGCTCCCCTTCTTGTCAATGGCAGTGACGTGACCCTTCCTCCAGTCATCCGGGACCTCACCTGACAGCCACGACTTCTCAAATATGATGGAGAGCGGCTCGGCAACCACCTCAGCCAGCTCCTTCCTCTTGAATCTCAGCTTTGGATGTGTGTCTGAGAGGGCAGTAAGTCTATTTCCATTTTGCTTATGTAAGCAAGGGTGAATCAAGCCCAGGTTTCTCTGATCTTGTGTTACATTTAAGTCATAACCAAGTCATATTTAACAGATGCATGCACATATCTTTATGCGTACTTTCCAGAACCCAGAGCTAAAAACCCTTTTCAGATAGAGCCTCCAACAGATCTGCTGCTAAAGCCCAGCCCCAGTGACTGGGCCCTTCTGGCAGCCCCACAGTGCTGACACCCTGGCCTCACGAGTGTCCCCTTCCCAGTGACAGTCAGAGGAGAAGCAGAGAAATCATGCCTGCTATTCAATGAGACAACTCAGTTCCATGTGGGCCCATGGGAACTTAACAAGGTTCAACAAGGCCAGGTGTGAAATGCTGCATGTGGGTTGGGGCAATGCCAGATGTGTGTGCAGACTGGAAGAAGAAGAACGTGAGAGCAGCTCTGCGGTGAAGGACATGGGGGTCTTGGTGGACAGAACAGTGGATGTGAGCCAGCAGTGCCCATGTACAGCCCAGAAGACCAACTGTAGAAGCTGTTGGTGCTCCATTCCCAGAGATGCCCAAGGCCACGCTGGATGGGGCCCTGGGCAGCATGGGGACAACTAGCCCACAGCAGGGGCTGTGCCAGGATGGCTTTTAAGGCCCCTTCCAACCCAACCATTCTGTGATTCTATGGTTCCCGTTGCCACAGAGCTTACGTAGACTTCTTCTGTCCCTTTTTATCTGCAGGTTACAAACGAAAAAAAAAAGTGGTAAAGTCATGCTAGCTTCTATATACCTATATTTCTATTCCACAGGAAAGAGCCAAACAATTTGGGAATAGCAGAACATTCCTGGTTCATTTGACAATTAATCCATCACTACGGACCCTGGATTTGGAACAGCTCACTACCATCTCCTCCTCTGCTCCCCAAAACTGACAGCTCAGTGCTGCAGGCAGCACAGCCACCTAGTCCTGCCTTCAGGGAGGGGATCTCATATTTGCTCAGGATGTGCCAAATTAGTGCTCCAATGTTTTTCAGATGTCTGTCTTCTTCACATATCATCCATCTGCACCTCTCTGCTCTACTTCATGCAGCTCTTGCATAAATCCACTGCCAGAGCACTTCCCAATTGACTCTCCTTGCACCCGGAAGAACATCACGCCGTGAGCTATTTCATTCGAGGGGAGCTGCAGCAGGAATACTCTGACAGAACATTCTTTGGCTTCAAGCAGTTGTACAGACATGAACTGCTCAACAAGGACTACAATTGTGGCTAATAACAAAAGGAAATCAGAAATAATTCTTCCCCATGCTAATACAGCACAGGAAGCATACGCCAGCCACGCATAGGAGTGCACCAACCCTGGTGCTGCAGACTTTGGACTACTGTAGGAGGTACATAAAAGCAGCAGGACGCTCGTCAGAACATAAATCAAAAGCAAGGTTACTAAAATATAGAGAAGCATGGAAATAAGATGAAAGGGATCAGAGATCACAAAAGAGGGACCGGGAAAGAAGCTAGGTTATCTTCTCCCTGCCAGAGAGAAGCAGATAGAATTTAGTTACATGCTTCATCTAAATGTCATCAGTCTGGGGCCAGTGAACTGCTAAAGAGAAAGGAACGAGATTGGCCACCTTATCTGTGAGCAAACAACACGAAGAGATGTCAGACTGCACAGCTGGCCCGGCACGCAGCTACACAGCCTGCTGAAAAAACACATCCCAAGGCCACAGTTGGCTCTGTTGTGTTGCTCTTTTTCAATAACGTGCTCATCCTAAAGCTCTCACTGGGGTCCAGGTCACAATTCAGCGAGGAAAATGTCATCTTCCCTGAAGAAAATCAGCAAGGTCATCCTCAAAACATCAGTAAATCAGCTGTTTTAGCAAAACAAAGGGAAGCAGCAACTTCACTTCTCTATCAATGATAAAGGACAGAAATTGATCCCCAATCTTCCTGCAGAACTTACCAGAAGAGAGGGGTTCATCCCCACAGAATGGGCAGGGCCATGACTTTAGCAGCTCTCTGAAAAAGGACGCATTCTCAGATTGATTTCTGCAAGAAGACCCTTTCTTGTAGTCTGGCAGATGATAATTCCAAATGCTAAATGAGTCTTCACACTCCAATTTATAACCCAAACAGGATTATAAGGGGGAAAAAAAAAGCTGTTTATTCAGATATATTCCAGGACAAGTGATCGGCTCTGAGCCAAGACAGAAAAAGACAGATTTAGACCATTAGACAAGAAAACACTTTTTCCTCTCCTGCTGTAGGCTATGTATCATTATCCCTGTAATTAAATTTAGTGCCTTTGTGGCAATGTCTTCTGCAGAATTTATTTAAGTGTGGACTTTCTTTCCCTCTCCTTTAACTACAGTACAATTAACTGTGAAGTGTTCACTCATTTCAAGCTTTTCAGCTGGGCATCAGAATTTAGTGCCTTGGTGGGAATGCAATCATCTTGGAATAGAATGTGAACACAAGACCTGTGGTTTGGCAACTTTCACCTTTGTTGAAAGTGAGTTTTCGAAGCTTGGAAGAAAAAAAAACAAAAAAAGCTTTTTTAATTCACCTTTTCCAGTTACAGCACATGATTCAGATCCTCATCCTTGACGAGAGCTCGAAGGCCTCAAAACAGGATCATGTGGCAGTTAACACAAGTGATTAATACATAATGAAGCACCTAAGTATCAGGCAAAAGCCTAGCTCAGGTCTGAAATCTCCTGCATCACATAATCCTGTGTTACTTCGTTCTTCAATTTCTGCACTTAAATTCTGAATGCAGGCAAACAATCAGGCCAAGTTCTTTTCTGGGCAACGTGGGAAAGCATTTCCAGACTTTCTGCACAGTAATTACAGGAGTTACGCCTGCATTCTTGCAGAAACTTTTTGCTCAACTTAAACTCTGCACAGACCTCAGAGACCACCAAGCCTAGCCCACAGCACTGGCAAACCATGGCAGCTTTGTCTCAGTCTGAGATGTGCGTGTATGACAGCACAACAACTGCAGAAGATCATCATCTTGTCAGATGGCTCCAATTCTTTTCCCAAAATAGGACTGTAATCACAAACTCTGAACGAGGGATCTCCTCAGCACTCACCAACAGATCACAGGACAACTGCAGCTGGACGCCGGGTATCTTCTCACAGCTCTTCATGTTCCTTCCTCCAGTCCAATACCCGGGCTTCTGGCATCGGGCTGCCAAGCTGTGGTGACCTCAGGAAAACATGCTTGCTTCTCTTCGGTCTCTTCCCTCTGTTTAGCTGCAGGGAGCTATCAGGCAGCTCAGTTTTCCACACTCCTTTCTTTCTTTGACAATTGTAGTAACACTGCAAAATATTGTAGTAACTTCACTGCATGGGGAAATCATCATCAGAACCAGTTAGTGATCAGTTTATGGTTGGAAGCAAGAGAATCAACAACTCATTTGTACATATTAGCATCACTATTCATATGAACACCCAGTTATTTTGTACATCTCAGGATGCACAACATTCAAAACAGTCAGTTGAGAGAGTCACACCAGTAGGCCAGAATGATCGCTCTGGAACAAAACTACTGGTAGAATGATGCCATAAGTAATTCACTGACAGCTCAGGGATCTCTCCTGGCACCACTGAAACTGCAAGGATGTTCCAGCCACCAGAGTGAAGTTAATCTGGAGAAGGAAAGAAGTACATAAAGGGCACCAGAATGACCCCAGCACCTTCCCACACCAGCACATCCATTTGCAACACGGGCAGCTACACATGTCTTCTCCCCTCTCCTTCCTCACCCCTAGTACTCCCATTCTTTCCCCTAATTACCCAGGGAGAGAACCAACAGAAGAAAATAGGAAGTGTATGCATTTCCATGCAGGAAAGAAGCAGGAGATTTGGTTTCTAAGGCGTGTTACGTTATAGGATAAACCTTCCAATACCGTTGGTTGAATAGAGTTAGAAAACAGTAATGTTCTCAGGACAGAAGTCAAAGAATCCAGAAATAAAACGTCAGACAGGAGGAGAGAAGGAAAGAAGTCAATGACTGAGTCAGCACAGCCAGCCACCTTAACACAGCACCCAGGCATCAAGTTCTGCTCATGCTGCCAGCAGGGCTGCGGTGACCCCTGCGCCATCCATCCCTGCCAGACACCAGAGCAGGTGCCACAAGCACACAGCCCCCTCCAGTTTTCCTTCAAGTGCCTACAGCTTCAGGACATGCCAGTTTCAGGGCAATCTGACGAGATTTGCTGCTGATTGTTGCAAAGTTAAGAACAGTATTTTTGGGTGAGTTTTTCCTCCCTCCACCCGGAAGCTGAAGTCACGTTCTTTAAATAGCTCCAAGTCTTCAGTAGGTGCCCTTAGCATAACGCTGCAGAGAAGACAGAGCCATCCTTTAAACAAACACTCAAAAGCTTTTCTGTACACATAACTCAAATTGCATTTTATGGTACGGGTAAAACATAAAGCATAAGGACTACAAGGAAATGATAGCATTCCCATTGAGCACAGAGGAGCGAACACCCCTGCACTCCCCTGCAGCTCAGAGCCAGGTGTGAGCCACGCCACTGCCTTTGCTCATGGGACAAATTGTGTTGACTTCACTACAGGTCAAAGAAACAGGATGTGCAGCTCAAAAATTATGCATGTGTGAAAGCAACATCAAAGTGGACTTTATAACTGCAAAATGATGGGTTTTACTCACATGAAAGGATCCATTTTAATATCCAAACACCTTCTTTCCCTGAGCCTTCAGCTACCTTGACAAACTGCAAAAGCCACCAAATTCTCTCTCTAAAAGAGCCACTGGTGCTGAGCAGGAGCCAGGAGGTCACTGCCCCCAGGCAGGTGCACGTCTTGCACTGAACTGAGCTGAAAAATAGCATGAGCAGGGACAGGAGCACGGCAAAGTCCTGCATTTTGAACAGTAGGCAGCAGCTCAGTACAGTGGACACCAAACAGCCATCTCTGCCCTGAACGTGAGCTCTGCTTTAAGTGGGAGGTAGAAGTTGAATCAGAAGTATTTCATCTGGAACATTCGTTCAGATCAGGTTGCTAACCTTGCTTCCCAAGCACCACTCCTACGTGGGGTGCCTGAGCTCCCACCCAGCAGAAACGTGCAGCCTTCCTGCTGCCCCCCACGTGCTAAGGGCACTGAGCTGCTGACCTAGGACAGCAGGCTCGTGCATCGCGTTGTCCACCTTGTCATCAACTCTGCGGCCACGAGCAGCGAGGCAGCCTGGGGGACACTGCATGAAATCCTATCTGTTCAGCTGAGAAATACTACGGTTAGGGGGAGGAGGATGCATTATACTTGTTTCCCATTCCAATCAAAGATGCAATCTTTTCCCCACCTTTCTTGACAAATCCCCTTAGATTTGAGAACTCAAGCCCTTGCATATCCAATCTGTTCCCATAGGAACCTAACAGCCACAACTGCTTCCAACCTCATCTCTTCTCCCAGTAGCAGAAATATCAGATGAAGTCTTAGTAGCCTTGCTTCTCTGCAGCAGGAACATCATGCATATTTGAAGAAGAGCTAAAGATAACACTTTTCTTCCACTCCTGCTCCCTCCAGAAAGGGAGGGTCACTGAGTCAAAGACCTTCCTCTTATCCTCCTCGATTATTTGGCACCTGACATTTTTACCTTCTCCAAAAACCTAAGAATTTAAACAAAAACTTCATTATCAAGCAGGCACTTCAGGGAAACTCCTGTAGAGAGGTAATTGGGTGGGCACAAGGCAGCTAAGCCACCATCACGACCTTCACCTAAAGCACAAGGAAGCCAGCGGGCACGTTGTTGGAACGCAGGATCTCCTGGTTCTCTGGGCTGTGATGAGCAAGAGAGTCCCAGCATGCTGCCCTCCGGCACTGCCCAGTTTGGGGTCTGGCACTTCCAGCAGCAGGAGACCAACCCGCAGCTCCTCCTGTCAAAGCAAAAGCTGCGAGCATGAGCACACTGGCATGACCAAGCAGTCCACACCAGGAAAAGGATCAGGGGGTTCGCTCACACGCCCCACCCAAAAGGTTTAATATTTGAGGAAGGAAATCAAGCGTGTTAGCCAAACGAAGCCTGTTGAAAGTTCAACTTGCTCTTTCTTCAGGAGTGTTTAGCCCTCATGGTTCAGAGCAGAGGCTGAAGAGCTATATTTTCTCATGCTTGCCAAAGGGAGTGTTCTGGCATCACACCAGGTAGCTTCCAGTCGGACGGTTTGCAAAGCAAATCCATGTGAACGTGGCAGTTTTCATGTCATAAATCAAGTAATTTGAAGTGAAAAGGTTCCTGATTCCTTCAGCCACACCCTTTTCTGCATTTGCACTCAAAGAAATTCGTTTCACGACCGCGACATACAGAGCAGCTACATGAAATGCAATCAATCCGCGTGCAAAAGCAACAAGCACCATTTCTCCCCGTTCTGCTTAACTCTGTTAAGTTCCAACAAGCGTGCCTTCCCACCTACTGCTGAGGTCACACAGGTGAGGTCTCATTTCCTGCACACACAGTTAGGTGGGAAGCAAGACAAGAGCCTTCTGCATTTTGCCATCTTCTGTTCAATTAAAATCCCATCCATTACACTGATGTCAAGTCGTCTTCTGTCTATAACAAATTAAGTGTTAATAGAGAAGCAACTGGAAAAGCAAAAGTTTCCAGAGGATAAATATTATGGCATCTTGGGACATACAGGCCATTGGCTTGTCCACTGCACATCATTAGTGTCATAGAGGATAATGAGCTCAGAGAACAAGACATGCAGTGCTGCAAACTTCCACGTTCCCTTAAGCAACTCCGTCTTCTCCCTGCTCACCCAGGCAACCTGCCTCAGTCTGGGCAGCTAACAGAAGCATCCACGCACCCGGGAGATGCCACACAACTTACTCTACATGAATGTGCACGCTCTCATTTCAGAGCATACAGTGAATTTCCTTCTACCCTCTTGACACAAGAAATATTTCTGAGAGACCAGTCATTAATAGCAGCCTCAGAACAGATCTGTTATCTCACCTCCGTGCTTCTGCAGCACAGCCTCAAAATACAGAACAACTTCTTACCCGGCTTTCATTAAGCGTCATGCCAGAAGTTCGAGTCCCACAAAGCCTCATTTCCTCTTCTTGCCCTCCATGCTGAACACTTTGTTCATTAATCTCCGTCTCCACAAATGTCTGCTGTCTGAGACTTGCATTTAACGTCGCCCAACCACCCCAAGCTCCTCCATTTGCAGACCCACAGGCCCACAAGGGTACAGGAGAATAAAGAGCCAGACAAGCTCTGGTTCACATGTATGGCATACAGCAGCACACTCAATTTGCTGCTCTTTACTGCTTCCACTAGAAGGAAAAACTCTAATGCTGAAGGTAATACCACCTTCGTGGGTCCCGGTCAGAGTAGTCCATCACAAAACACACATGGTGTGTCCCAAAGAATAAAGATATCACCAACCTCAGAGTTCCTAACAGGGGGCTTTCACGACATTCCAAGCAGCAAAGAGATGTGGAATCAGGATAGCAGGGACACGAATGTTTCTCACACTGTGAGGAGCAGGGTTTGTGTTGTTGTTTCCTTCAGCGCAAGTCCAGCCACCCAGGGCCGGCACAAATGCACGTCCAGCAAACCTGCAACTTGGTTACAGAACTGCAGGAGTGTGCCCACACATCTCTCCTTTCTCCAAATACCTGCTGCCCACCTCGCAGAGGATCTTCAGGCTTCCCGCCCACCTTTCCCCTCAACCAGCTCACACACCTCCTTCACTGCCACTAATTAAACATAGCTGGCACTTCCTGCGCTTGCGCAGAGCTCATATGCCACACACTCCCAATTCACTGTAAATAGGAGCAGCAGGTTTCTGTGAGGCACTCGAGACACACTCACAACACCTTCTCAGCCTTGACAGGAGAATGAGCCCTTTCTGCAGCACCCTGTATGGTTCCCACCCCAAAAACGGCCTGCGCTAATTCCTCCACCTTCATCCAAAGTGAGAGCAAGGCCTCAAAGAATTGATAAATCCCTTTCTCTACCAGCAGAGAGCTGGAGTCCTATAAAAAAGAAGGTTAAACAACTGATCAACTACATGCACCCAGCTAAGGGCTTTCTCTCAGCCTCCTCTAAGCTAGAGACAATGTGGAAGCATCCAGGGCAGCTCTGCGTTTGTGGATGTCCCACTTTCCTACTGAGTTAAAGCTGACGGTGGCCCCTGAGGTATTCTGAAAGGTTTGCTCTTAGAGAGCTGGAAAGAACACATCTTCCTTTTTCTTCTGTCCCCAGAAACCAACAGGGAAATAGACTTGTTTCCAAAAGCACAGTACTGAACCAGGGAAATTCAGAGGGGAAAGGGATTCTGGTGTAAGAATAACAGGGCTTCCTGCAGGGTGGAGTTCTACCGGCACAGTTCTGTGAGGGCATCCTGCCCTGCACTCCTCTCATGTCACTGAGGTTCGAGGAAAGCTGGACTCCTTCCCATTTTAGAACACACACATCTCAGGGAAGGCAGCTCTCTCTCCCTATGCTCTTCATTGTTCGTCTGCCAAGTGGTTTTTGCCTCATATTAACCTCGGATGGAAGACTTGAAAGAGCAAGCAGCCTCTTTCTACTGGAAAATAAGTGAAAATGGCAAAGGTGAGCGGAAGAGCAATCCCGTAGTGTTCATATAGAGAATCTCTCATTAAAGACATCTGTCGCTACTTTCCATACGTTCTGCTCAGGGAAGAGCATCCACCACAGCGTAACAGAAGTCACAAACTGCTGCTTCTTTGCTTTCTTTTGAAGAATAAGCCAACCCACCATTCAGTAGAGCAGATTGGAACTTTCATTTCCGCTGACCAGGGACCACAGGCCGCCATCCCTCTAAGTGCAGAGGCTGAGGTTCAGAGTTGAATGCTCTCATTCAGTAAGCGGTTGTCACTAGCAGACGCTTGAATGCCATGGAGATGGTGACAAACAACTGAATCAGACAGCACAGGAACAAGAGGAGCACTGTAGTGTAAAAGGCTGGGTCTGGCAGAGAGGTGATGCACTTGCACCTTCTAAAAGACAGACCGTCTCAGCAGGGAAGAGCCTGGAACACAGCATACAGACTGCTGGGCTAGAAAAACTTCTCCACTTCACAGAATCATGGAATGGCTGAGGTTGGAAGGGACCTTAAAAGCTCCCCCAGCCCCAGTGCCTGCCCATGGGCTGGCTGCCTCCCATCACCTCAGGCTGCGTAGGGCATCATTCAGCATGGCTTTGGGCACCTCCAGGCATGGGCAGCAAAGCAAGCAGCAAAGCTGTCCACTTCCTGCTCCTGAGTCGGTTAGCAATGGGGAGCTGCACTGAGTTCACTGACTGCTCCAAATTTCAGAGTGACATCCGAGCTGAATTTCAGCAAGGAAAGAATATCCATCTTGGATATTATCAAAGACGTGCCAAGCATAAAGGCAAGTTACAAGATAGAACCATAGAATGGCCTGGGTTGAAAAGGACCACAAAGATCACGTAGTTTCAACCCCCCTGCTATGTGCAGGGTCACCAAGCACCAGACCAGGCTGCCCAGAGCCACATCCAGCCTGGGTTGAATGTAGATGAAAAACACTTCTGATACAATCCAGTAATACAGTATGCGAGGTAACAGAAGATAGGAATTGCTTTATTTAGGACAGTCGTAGGCTGACTGAGATACTGCAAACTCACAAAAAAAGCATGTGACTTGCTCTTGTGCTAAAGGAAGCGAAATAGTTAATTTCCCACGAGAGAAAATAGCAGAGCTTTGCAAGATCACTTAGCAGCTCACATGGGGAAAAAGCAAGCCTCCAGAGGCTCAGACTTCTGAACTGGCATCTCTATTCTAAAACCACATCAAGGCTTTATCTACAGCTGTAAACACCAGCAAGCATGTTACACAAACCATTTTTATTTTTCTTTGTGAAAGATGCAGAGTTGTGTGAATTCCAAGGTTATACATAAGAAATCCAAGAGAAAAACTTCTGGGGAGAAATGCACTTCAAGTTTTTACCCATAGCAACCTGCCCCTTTTTATGGTACTTACTGCAAGAACACCATACAAGATACTGAATTTTGCCACTTCTTCCTATTATCCAATACAGGATTCAGTCTGCCTGCATCTGAGCTCAGGATACCCCAGGTCTGTGCTATGCAGAATCCCTCTACGCCAATAAACCAAACAGAAGGTACGAAAGAAAGACACAGCAAAGGCTTGGAGCACCTCACAGAATCACAGAATGGCCAGGGTTGGAAGGGACCTCAAGGATCATGAATCTCCAACACCCTGCCACATGCAGGGCCACCAACCTCCATATTTAATACTACACCAGGCTGCCCAGGGCCCCGTCCAATCTGGCCTTGAACACCTCCAGGGATGGGGCATCCACAACCTCTCTGGGCAGCTGTTCCAGCACCTCACCACTCTCATAGGAATGAACTTCCCCCTGACATCCAACCCAAATCTCCCCTCCCTCAACTTAAAACCATTTCCCCTTGTCCTGCAGTTATCAACCCTTTGATTCCCCTTTAGGTACTGAAAGGCTACACCCTACAGCCTTCTTTTCTCCAGGCTGAACAAACCCAGCTCCCTCAGCCTGTCCTCATAGGGGAGGTGCTCCAGTCCCCTGATCATCTTTGTGGCTCTCCTCTGGACCCTCTCCAACAGCTCCCAGTCTTTCCTGCACTGGGGGCTCCAGACCTGGACGCAGTACTGCAGATGGGGCCTCACAAGAGCAGAGTAGAGGGGGACAATCACCTCCCTGTCCCTGCTGGCCACCCCTCTTCTGACGGAGCCCAGGATCCTATTTGCCTTCCAAGCCCCAAGAGCACACTGCTGGCTCATGTTAAGCTTTTCATCCATCAGGACCCCCAGGTCCTTCTCTGCAGGGCTGCTCTCAAGCACCGCTCCTTCCAGTCTGCATGGATGCCTGGGATTCCTCCAGCCCAAGTGCAAAACTCTGCACTTTGCCGTGTTGAACCTCATGAGGTTCACCCAGGCCCACCTTTCCAGCCTCTCGAGGTCCCACTGAATGGCATCCCTTCCTTCCACCGTGCCAACCGCACCACTCAGCTTGGTGTCGTCAGCAAATTGCTGAGGGTGCACTCGATTCCATCGATGCCACTGATAAAGTTGTTAAGAGCACCAGTCCCAAGACAGACCCCTGGGGACGCCACTCGTTACCGGCCTCCACCTGGACACAGAGCCATTGATGACCACCCTCTGTCTGCAGCCTTTCAACCAATTCCTTATCCATGGAGTGGTCCACCCTTCAAATCCACATCCCTCCAATTTGGAGATGTGGTGGGAACCATGTCAAAGGCCTTGCTCAAGTCCAGGTACATGACATCGGTCACCTTTCCCTCATCCACCAGTGCCATCACTCCATCACAGAAGGCCACCAGATTTGCCAAGCATGACCTTCCCCTGGTGAAGCTGTGCTGACTGTCACGGATCACACGCCCATCCCTCATCCAGGAGGATCTGTTCCATGATCTTCCCAGGCACAGAGGTGAGACTCACCAGCCTGTAGTTCCCAGGGTCCTCCTCGCTCCCCTTCTTGTCAATGGCAGCGATGTGACCCTTCCTCCAGTCATCTGGGGCCTTACCTGACAGCCACAACTTTTCAAATATGATGGAGAGCAGCTCGGCAACCACCTCAGCCAGCTCCTTCAGAGCCCTGCGATGCAGCCATCCGGCCCCATAGACTTAGACACCTACACATTTATGGTACTGTCGACTAGCTAATTACTTCTATACCTACTTCCTGCATCTATAATCACTGGATAAAATCATCTCACCACATCTCTACAGGAGGAAGAAAAACAGCAACAAATTCAGTATCAGCAAGTCTCTTGCTCTGCAAGTGTAGCTCTAAGCTCTTCAGTAACACAGCAGCCTCACTGTTTAGGTGCTTCAAGCAAACCTTCCCATCTCACACGTCAGCAAACTGCACCAAGCCAGGCATCCCAGCTGTAAAGGCAGCAAGCAGACTCGTGCAGGGGGCCATCAGCGCCCTCCCACCCACCCCTATGGGCGAACCGGAAGCTCGGGGGTTAAAAACACACAGCAAAACTCCCTACACTCTGCTTGCAATGTAGATTTTTCTACTCTTGCTGCAAGGAAGGTGAAAATAATGCATTTTCTTTTTTTTTTTTTTTTTTTTTTTTTTTTAATTTAATCTTTTAGTTTGTCATCAGGTGTAAGAGGTAAGGGACCTGCACTCCTCTCACTGGATGGGGCAGAAGAAAAGATAACAAGGAGGAAGGAAAAGAATGGAAATGAAGAAATAAATGGTCGAAAATAGGGGGCACATTTTTTCCTCCCCAGTACTCAGTAGGAATTTCATTCAAAATCATCAACAAGGTACAGCACTATTCTGTTCTGCATTTAAACCCAAATTTTGTGTGTGTTTTATGCTAGGACGTTCTACTTCTCTGTATGTTGCTCCTTCAAAGCCTGCAGGAGCGCTGCAAACAGTTAATTGCCTTCTCCAGCAGACCAGCTAAGGGTACGTTAGTTTCATAATGCTTTTGGATCCATATGCACCATATGACAAACTCAGGCACTCAAACAAGCCAGCAGGATGAGGAGACTGCTCAGCATCTTGTACTACAGAACCATACATACAGCAATTGCACTCAGAGGAGACAGGATGCATGCTGTACTGTCAGGGAGCAGAGTGAGATGTAGGTGTTTGTTTCCATTGGGCAAACTTTTCCCATTCTTTCCTTAACTCCCATTCCTTCACATTTCAAAGCTCACACCTAGATAGATTCTGCTGCAGGCAAGTTTTTAAGGTTTTTCCCTCAGGTTTCTCTTCAGAAAAAGTAAAGCCACCAAGTGTCAGCTTGAAGCTGAAGGAATGCAGGTCTAACCAGAAGTATCACAGCCATTCCCACCACCATGAAAAACATGTCCTGCATGTTTGTTTTGGCAGACATGGACTTGAATGCCATTATCATGTACGTACAGTGCAGAATAAAGAAGATACCTGCACAAAGCTTCAAGTTAAAAGCTTGATTTACTCAAGAGGAATCTGTTCCAGCATGAACAAACATCCCAACGCTATCCACATACCTCACAAGTCCCGTTGTCAGAGTACAGATAACATAAAAAGGGTGGTGAGGCACTGGAACAGGTTGCCCAAGGAGGCTGTGGATGCCCCATCCCTGGAGGCATTCGAGGCCAGGCTGGATGTGGCTCTGGGCAGCCTGCTCTGCTGGTTGGTGACCTGCACACAGCAAGGGGTTGGAACTGGATGATCTTTGTGGTCCTTTTCAACCCAGGCCATTCTGTGATAAAGGGCATTTTCATAAACCCCAAAGTCTTCCTTCTAAGAATCAACCAGCCCCAAAACTCTCTAAAAGCAGATTAAAATAATGTCACTGCTCCAAGCATCTCAATGGCTGCCTTACTGAATATAACTCCCTCAAAAACTGCTGCTGAACCCAGCTCAGGAGGTTCTTATCCACCTGCCGCATCGTTCTTAGAATCTGATCATCATTTGTAAGCAAGGGCTGCTAATTGCCACCGGGGTGGCAAGTTGAAAAGTGAAGGTTTCTCAGACAACAAGCAGGGCACAGGCAGATTCCCCATCACACAAACTACCAGAGCCGTTTCTATGAGTTTCTAGAGTAGCTGTGAAAACTTTTGCTGTGCAAGGAAAAAGTCCCAAGCATCCTTCCCCAGCAGCAGGGAGCACAGAATCCCCTCTGAACTAATGCAAGAAAGATCACGACACTGCAGGCAAGGCCTTAAGTGATTCAAAATCCTCCCTCACCTCCCAGAGTCAAGCAGCCTACCAAGCATATTGGGGATTATGCTCTCGAATGTAAGCAGTCCTGCAATTCTGCAGGCCCCCAGCTTGCCTGAAAGGCATCTGCAGAAGCAAAAAATCTGATGTTTGCATTGCTTTTGGAGAGTTTTCTAAGTCACGGAGGCTTGAAGGAACATGTGAATCCTGCTTGCAAATTCATACAATTCCACTGTAACACAGAAACCAAAGTGACCTAGTTTTGAGACTCCATCTGAAGATTAATTCACTTCTATGATGAGGCTGCACCTGAAATACCCCTGTGCCCGTTTTTGTCTTTGGTACCGTAAAAAGCTATCATAAAAAGCATCTGCATCTTCAACACCCTAGGACTAAAGCTCACATCTCAAGGATGCAAGCTCCATCCCCACTGAAGAAATATTTCTGACCTTCTCACTTTTCTTAATTTTAATCTTTCGCAGTGTTGCACAACTGTTCCTTCCTAGGGCTCAAAAAGAGGAACAGGCAGACGCAGCAGAGGGAAGTTTGCCCTTTTCATTGCCCATTTCCAGCGACAACTAAGCCTTCAGAAGCCACAGACATCCCAGTTTCTAAGAACTCTGCTATGATTCTGCAGACAGTGATCGAAAGGATCTAGCCTGGTGCCCTAAAATGGAACTCTGATCAAGCCTCATTTTACAGAGCAGCGCTAACGAGCTTGGTGCAGCAGCACGTAGTTCACAACACCAAGCCCAGAACTTTGCAGCATACTGCAAAGGGAGTAAAGTTTTACAAACACGGCAAAGATGGCGAGCCCCAAACAGTGATCAAAAGAGAGAAATATCTGTCCAGCTCCTTTCTGGATTTTAGTTACAGAAGTTCCATACTACATCCCTCACCCACAGTAGTGTTTCTGCCTGGACCTTGCCCATTAGCCATCACAGGGCTGCTTGCCTGCACATTCACCAGGCTGAGCAGTAATCTGATCAGCAGCTTTAGGAACCCAATGCAATTTTTATGACACAGAAAGCTAACACCTAGGACCACGAATAGCTTCACCTAGATAACGTTCTCTATTTTAAAGCCTTTCCAGCGGTGACCAACTCCTCCCCAGTCACACACAAACCCCCTGAACGGTTTAGACAATTCCCCACTGAAGCAGATGTCATAGAAGCCAGAGATCAAAGAATTTGGCTTTGCAGAAGACACTTTCTACAGTTTCATTGTCACCCTACCAGGGCTATTTTTAAAACACTTTGCCCGACCGCAGGATCTCCGAAGCTTCTCCTCACTCAACCAGAAAGCAGCAGGATGCAGCCACACACCCCCAGGTAACGCAGACTTTTATCCTGTAATCTCACCTTGGAGGAGGTTGCACTTTCACACAGAACCATTTTCTTCCAACAAACCATCAAGGACCGGCTCCCAACACACGACACTTACACCAGCGTACAGTCTACCTTCCCGCTGGGAACCGACTCCGCGCACCAGGATCTGCACAGCCAGCAACCTCCACGCT